TTTTCATTTGATTCGTATTCAGCGACAAATTAACACTTTCTCTTTCTGTTTTTTTTATTATACTGCTTTACAATTCTAGTTTTATGTGCTAAATTTTCTTTTTAGAAACCAAAACAGAAAAGTTGTGATCGATCAAATGGCGCCGTCTCGTGAAGAAATCAATCAACACCTGTATCAACGATATTTGAAGAGGATTTCAGCGGCCAAAGCAACGAGAGAAAATCAATTTTTTTTATGGATTAACAATCGTCAAGGAAAGGACTGCACGATGGTGGTTTCAGAAATTCCGAAAAGGTGACATCCGGCTCACACGAAAGCGAGGAAGTGGTCATCCCAGAAAAGTGAATCGACAGACGTTGAGGCGCCGACTCCGGCAAAATCCCGAAGGATCGACTCGGATTTTGGCAAAAGATTATTGCGGAAGAATGACAGTATGGCGTTGGCTCAAAAAACCGGAAGAAAGTGGTTGAAACAGCGGCAAATTCCCTATCAACTGAACAATCTGGATTAAGGACCAAAGAGCGCGGCTGCCGTCAACTACTGAACGAATACTGATGCGGCCAGCTTCCTTCTTCCAATATAGTGACTCATGATCAATCGTGGATCTTCTATGATGGTCGAGTGTTGAAACGGCAATGGTTGAGGAAAGGTCGATTGGGAAAAAGTGGTGCCAAACGAAATATTCATGGGAATAAGCTACTTCTGGTGTGTCTATTGGTGTTGCTCTGGCATACTTTTTTGGGAGCTCCTCCAGAAGGGTCAAACTTTAACAGTGATGTTTATATACGCCGTATGGAACAAGTTGAGCAGAAAAATTCTCCGGATTGCTCTATCAGAATGAATGGAATGCTTCCGTTTTTGTGCTTGAAGACAACGCTCCTTCTCACAAATCGAAGAATTTTGTGGAAAACAATTTGTACTGGAATGTACTTTCACATCCCGCTTATAGCCCGGATATTGCTCCTTCTGATTATTACTTATTTTTGTCGCTAAAGGATTTCCTTCGAGGCAAGCAATTCAACAACCAAGGTGACCTCAAGGACGAATTGAAGGACTACTCTCTTTCACGACAACCTGATTTTTACAAGCGGGGACTTGAAAAGTTACCAAAACGTTGGTTAAATGTCTATAAAAATATATTCTATGATCTTGGTTGTTACTTTTTTATTGTGTTGAAAATAAAAATTTTTGAAAAGCGGCAATTTTTTATGGGACAAGCTATTAAATAGATAGATAGAAAGCCCGACAAAATGTATCGATTCTAGATGTTGCCTGTGGATTGAAGTAACTTCATTTTTCAAAGAATTTTGATGATTTATTCTAAAACAAATATTAAAATTGTAACAAAATTGAATATTAAAATTGTAAAAATATGAGAACAGTAACAAATTGGGGTATAACAAGAGGGGGTTTATAAAGAAGAAATTAATTACATGTCAACATAGACAACTTAACAAAATAATGCATGTCGAATGCAAAATAGCAAGCTCAAAAAAAACGTACAAAGCAGCAATAGGGAAAAGAGAAGTGCAATGTGGGTACGTGTGAAAGCTGTTTCCAAGAGATCGACGATATAAAAATTAGAAATAGGTAATATGTGCACGTGTAAGATCAATTTTGAGGTAAAAAGACGTAACAAATTTGAGAATAAAACTTTAGAGATTGAACTTTAGAAACGTGGACTCTAGGAGATGCCATACGGAACTTTAGAGATGCCATATCGTTTACCACCAAGACTTGAACCATCCCGAGACTTTCTTGATCGTTTCCTCTGCCTTCCTGACAAAGTTATTCACCGCATCATCGACTTTCTTGATCGTTTCCTCTGCCTTCCTGACAAAGTTATTCACCGCATCATCGACTTTCTTGATCGTTTCCTCTGGCTTCGTGATCAAGTCACCCACAAAACCACCAATTTTTTCGCCGATGAATTCGCCGATGATTGGGCCCATGGTTGCGCCGATGGTTGCGCCGATCATTGCGCCCGCAACGCTTCCGACACCAGGCAGGACAGCTGTTCCAATCCATGTTCCAATCTTTGTTCCAATCTGTGGTCCATACTGGGTTCCAATCCGTTTACCTAAACACTTTCAAATTTATAAGTTTCACTTTTCAACTACGCCAAGCATTGATTTGAAAAAGTACCTGCCCATGCTCCTCCAGTTTGGCAAGCAGTTTTAATGCCCGCCTTTACGACACGACATACGGCATCATCCTGAACATGCATAAATTTAAAGCTACAAGCTAAAGAAAACTCACATCTTTAAACTCCTTCATATTGGCACAAAACTTCTTTGCACCTGCAATCCAAGGGCCAGCGGAATCAGCAACTTTTCCAACCTCTTCCAAAACCTCGACTGTTTCTGGTGACTAAAATGAATGCTTTGAAATTTGTTAAGTAGAAACAGCTCAAATCCATCATGAAACTTACGAACTTAATACAGGAACTTAATAAGTCAGACACAGGTACCACCGCGACAGCAGCTTTTACACAGAACTTGATGTCATCCTTTGTAGAACGCTTCGACTAAAAAGATTGAATCACAATAAAAATTAATTACGGAAAACAAGTTATGACCAAAGGGAATTTAATAATTTTTTTTCTGGAATCTTAGCTTTGCAAAAATATATAGTTAGCACTTAATTGCAGCAGAAAACTCACAGAATCATTTACTGCTTCAATGCCGTCCACAAGACGTTCAAAACAGCCTGTAATCTAAAAAACAATTTGTAAAAACCGATTTTTTCGAACTTGCCACTAGTTTTAAAAGCTCTTTCTAGGGTAATTAATTGCACTGAATCCATTGCAGGTATTTAAGCATTTATAAACAATTCTGAACAACTTTTATGCCAGTTTGAGTAACAATTTCGCGCCTTCAAGAGTGGCTTTATTTCCACTGGGTGCGGGATCGAATTAAGAGGCTTAAAACCTAGGTAACTGCTAGAAAACATTTGCTAAAGCTTAAATAAATACCAAATTAAGAATCTGCGCCATCAAAAACAATGGCACTTAAGAAGCTCCTTTGAAGCAAAAATTAGTGCGTTCTGGCTCAATAGAGATGAATGCACACTGGTCCACCCAATTACTATAGCACCCGTAATAATTCTACTAATAATAATTATCATAGTTGTTTAATAACGAATAACACACCTTGCTTTCGAGCTTTTCTCGTTCAGAACTCTTTTTGAAGCCTCCAAGGCATGACGCTCCAATCTCGAGCCAATCGAGCCTCTCTTCAGCGAAGCTCCAGAAGTCCATCTAAATTTGTAAAAAGTTTTTGTAAAATTATAAATAGAACCTCGTTTTATTCGACTCTGCCTTTCTCTCCAGCCTTTCTCGCCAGCTAAATTAATATAAATTAATGATGATGCACAAAAAAGAAAATGAAATAAATGACAATGATGCTCTAATAGCGATAACTACTTTGTTAACATAGGTTAACAAAGTAGTTATCGCTATTAGAGCATTATTGTCAATGGATTCAGAGCAAGCAGCTCATATTTTTAAAGAAATTTTTGTCGTTGAAACACCGTGAAATCTAACTGTCGCCTTGATTTGAAAAAATATTAAAGTTAGGTACCTAATACATAATTTGGTACTTTGGTGGTTGGAAGAGGCCACTTTTATCCTGGCTTAGTTGAATCTAAGGCTGGTTCTATCTACAACCAAAGTGGTTGTATTGATACCTTTTATCTATTCTAAGGTAATCAAATATGCTTAATAGATTGGTGACTATTTTAGCAAGTTTTTGGCAGTTTTTGGCAGCAATTCTAGCCAAATCTCATGTACTTTAACCACTAAACGCTACCTTAAAGCTGCTTACACTTGAAAATCAAAAAAGAAAAACGGTAATATGAAACTTGCAACATGTTGTATAAGCTTATTTAATTACTTGAAACATGCTCTAAAAGTATAAGCATACTTGATTACCTTAGAATAGATAAAAGGCATCAATACAACCATTCAAAGCCTTAGATCCAACTAAGCCAGGATAAAAATCGCCTCTCCCAATCACCAAAGTACCGCAGATTATTTCGATTTGCGTTTTAGTTAAAAGGAATTGGTTAAGTTGAGTTTATACGGCATGTATGAACGGCATGTATGAACGAATTCAAAACAATGGAGTGAAAGGAGCCGAAAAAAAACGAAATAACACCGTATTAGTATTTTAAACAATAAACTATGGGCAAACAATATAAAAAGGAGGAAACGAACGAGGGGAGGGAGGGGAGTAATTTAAAAACGCGCTACAAAAACATAATAGATTTTATGCGGGGGAGAAGAAAACTTAAAACTTAGAAACTTAAAACTTAAAGCTTCAAAACTTAAAACTTAAAAACCTCGGCATAAAAGCCGGAAAAACTTTTCGATTCCATCATGGAATGAAGGAAAATGAAAAGAATGGCAAAACGGGGAATTTTGTGCGGGGTACGGTAGCGCATCCACGCATTAGAAAGCGCGCCCGTGCCACTTTCGCGCCAAACCGCACGTCAATTGGAATCTAACTTATTTTTAGTTAGCACATCGATTGGCAACGCTAAAGCAGTGTGAATATGCAAAAATCTAGCCAACTTTTTCAACAAACCCAGAAAGCCACGTTTTTAAAACCTAAATTGGACAGCTCAAAGCCGAGATATTTGAGCTCAAAGTTGAATTGCCAAAAAGGAGCGGGGCGCGTATAAAAGGAAAGCTCGCTCCTTTTGCCATTGACAATCCGACTTTGAGCTCAATTATCTTGGTTGGGATGTCCAATTTCAATAGTTAGGCAAAACTGGGCTGGATCTGAGCTTTGGGACAAGCTGATTGGCTGATCTGGTGGGTCAGAGTTGAATCAAGAAATGGAATCAGTCAGATCAAGTCATTTTAGAGATCTAGAGGCAAATCTTGAATCTTTGGCATCTCTGGCAAACCTTTGGGTTGAACAGACCAAAATCAGGGCTAGGATCAATTGGCCAATCAGTCTGCCAGGCCAGGCCAGGCTACCAAGGCAGAGCCAGAACAGGCAAGGTCTAGGCTCCAGAGCAGGGCAAGGTCACACTAGAGCTCTGGGTCTAGAGCCACGAAAGTCGGGTCGGATAGATTATAAGAAAACCCTATCAAACTCTACAGCATCTTTCTTTGTGACATCCAGATCATCCAAAAATCGAACATTCAGTCCGAGTCGTCGAAAGAAATGCGTCCAGTGGTGCGCGAGACATTCCGCGTCGGACCACCCATTGCTCACCAGGATCTCATCGATTTGAACTCACAGGTTGATTTTCCATACTGATCTCCAGAATCGAGGAGAAACCAAGAAAAACCTGGCCTTATCCCCGAAAATCTCGATTTCAGATGGTAATCAAATATGCTTATACTTTAGAGCATTTACAACATGTTTCAAGCTTCATATTGCCGTTTTTATTTCATTTTCAAGTGTAAGCAGCTTTGAAGTGGTTACTTTAACCACAAGAAAACAGATGGGGATACGTGGTTTGCAAAATAATACAAAATAACAACAATTTACATAGAAACAAGCAATATAAAAACGCCAACAACAAGCAATCAACAACAGCAAACAACAAGCAATATAAAGACGTGAATTCAGTCAAGAAAAGCGATTGTCGATACTTGGCACACTGTGGATATCGTTGATATTGATAACCTCGTTTTTGAGTTTTAGATCTATTTCAAGTCTATTCCAAGTCTATTTCAACTCTATTTCAACTCTATTTCAAGTCTATTCCAAGTCTATTTCAAGATCTATTCCAAGCTCTATTCCAAGCTCTATTCCAAGCTCTATTCCAAGCTCTATTTCAAGCTCTATTCCAAGTCTATTCCAAGTCTATTCCAAGTCTATTTCAAGTAATTGCTCAGGAGCTGATTGCTGATTTGTTGCTTTTTTGATGTTATTGTTTTTGATATTGTTTCTCCATTGAACCTAAAATCATGTTCCACAGTGTGTCGATAATCCAATAAATAGATAATGAAAGGCTTTATAACCACTTTATAACCTATTTCAAAACCAAACCACAGCCTATTTATTTGAAAATCCGTATCTCCGAGATCTGAAACATTTAAACGACAAAACAAAGAATTCTATTCAAAATTTTTCGGTCCAACTTTATTCGACCAGGGGAGATCATCGGGTGGATCGGTAACAGCTCCACTCAAATGGGACAGCTCATCGAAAATTCGCTTCATCGCTGTCGTCGTTGTGTAAGCACCTGAAAACTACAATTAAACCGACATAGAGCGCGCCAGAGACGGTGCGTTTACTGTGAGCACAGAGAAGATACGAGCTAAATCTAGATGACAGCGATTTCTCGTGAATTAGGTGGCTTTTGATGGAAATTTTAATTATTTCGTAAATCCTGGAAGGCACTGGGTACCCTGGTTCCAAAAAAACGCGAGCATTTCCACTTTGCTACAAAGTGCATATAAGGTATAAGAATGGCTGAATATCTCAAAAGTTAGCTGTTTTTTCTAGAGTAATCTTTTGAATTCATAAATCCTGGAAGGCACAGGGTCCCCTGGTTTCAAAAAAACCCGAACGTTTCCACTTTGCTACAAAGTGCATCTAAGGTATAAGAATGGCTGAATATCTCAAAAGTTAGCTGATTTTTCTAGCGTAATCTTTTGAATTCGTGAATCCTGGAATGCACAGGGTCCCCTGCTTAGAGAAATTAACTGATTTTCCCCACTCACCAAAAATCACTTTCCACGCCAGCATCTTCCTCTCGACGATTTTCTCCCACCCAGGCCAGCCGGGCCACAGAAAGCTAAAAATGGATGGGAATTGGATTCAGGATTGGAATTGATCCAAGATTAGCCAGAAATGCAACGAGATTTCCCGCTTTTTAAACAAACTTGTGCTCGTATAGCCGAAAATCGTGGTTCGCTGCGATCTCCTTCGCGATTTGACCCGTTACAAAGGCGTCATCGACCTGAATTTGAGTCAATCGGCAATCTGGAGCGCACGACATGGAAATGACTAGAAAAATCCGGGTGTCGTCTTAAAATTTTTCTCTATGATAGCTCGAAACGAGTTTGGGCAAATTTGGAAACAAACCGATGTGTAAAATCGCTTGTTTTCAATATTTTTCACCAATCTGGATATCAGGTCGGCTGACTGAAAGAATGGATTTGAGATTGAATGGATTTGGAAAAGTTTGGAAAAGCCAACCATGATAAAAGCCGGTCCACAACAGAAAGCTTCCCAATCATCGCCCGGATGAGCCTCTTTTGAAACGTACCTAAAAAAGCAGTAATCCAGCGTAAACACACCCTTTCTAGCGCACAGATTGAGCATAAAAGGCCGGCTTAGTGGAAATCGCGAAATCTTAAGTGAAATCGCGTAAATGAACCGAACCGGAATCCGATTTTCTCCAAAATCTCTAAATCAATATTTTCTTTTTCTAGATTTCTCAAGTGCCTTCCAGAACTTATGAAAAACTTGTCAGTGACTTGAAAAGTCTTGTCAAAACTTTGGAAATCAACTGGACTCGGCTAGACTTGAATAACTCATTTTCTAAAGCGTGTATCACTTTTTTGACATAACTTTTCAGTGATCTGGAACGCACAAACACTTTCTAAAGCTTTCTGAAGCTCTATTAAAGCTTTTCAGAAATTTATCTGACGGTAATCTTGGCTCTAAATTTTCACTATTATTTAAAAGCCGTTTCCCTTGAAATCTTACATTTCTTCAAATTGGATGTCACAATATAGATTACGTTTAAAAAAATGAGGTTTGTAAACGTTTGATGCATTTTAGAAAGGGTACTTGACCACTTGGGTAACTAATCCACTTCCTCACTTCCTTTTCCTCACTCACCAAGGCGATCCTTTTTCCCTAACGACTGGACTGTGATATTCTAAGCAGGTGAACGTGTTTTCTTCCGAAATCATTGTCCCATTGTGAAAATCGTCGAAAATCCAGTGAATATTTGGGAGAATGTCGTCTGAAAATGGAATTTTCTTCAAAATTTCGAAATTTCTTTTCAAATTCCTTTCAAATCAAGGAATTTCTTTAGCCAACCATCCATTTTGACAATCATTTTCACTCGCGGGCAATCATCACGAACGAAACGCATCCAATTGAGAAACTAAATGGGGGGAATTGATTTGATTTGGGTTACTGGAGAAGCTGGAGGAATCGGAGGAATCGGAGGAACCGAATGAACTGAATGAACTGAATGAATCAAATGAATCGAATGAACCGAATGAACCGAATGGACCAAATGAACCGAATGAACTGAATGAACCGATTGAACTGAATGAACCGAATGAATCGAATGAACCGAATGAACTGAATGAACCGGAGGAACCGGAGTAGCCGGAGGAACCGGAGGAAGCGAATGAATCGAATGAACCGAATCAACCGAATCAACCGAATGAACCGAATGAACTGAATGAACCGAATGAACCGAATGAACCAATTAAGCGGCTGAATTTGGCTGAATAGTTCGGTTCATTTAATTTGTCTTTGCTAACAGCTTGTCTTTGCTGTCTTTGCTGTCTTTGCTTTATCTTATTCATTATCAGCTTTCTTTTGTTCACAATTTGATAACTAAACCGGATTCGAAACGATAGGAAATTTCGGAAAAAAGCTATTCAAACAGTTTCTGCAATTAGCCACAAATCCGGTTTAATTACTCAATTCAGTATTTAATATAAGACTCTAATATCAACTCTAATAACTCTAATAATTACAGTAAATACAGCAATTGTAGCCCCAATGCTTCTTTCTATCGGGCTCAAATCACGCGAGCATGCGGGTCAGTCCAAGACATCCATGTTATTCTGTGGAAAGTAGTCTTTTGTTGATCCGCTGCAATTGATAGCATTGTCATTGATTGTTAAGCAAAATTTATGGCGTCTACGTCACGTCAGTGAGGGCCAAATTCGTACAATTGAGAAGCAGGATGAGTGCTAAATGCAAGGAGAAACCTTGAAACCACAAGAAACAAAAGCCTTGTAAACAAGAAGTCAAAGTCAAGAAGTCTTTTCTGGTGATTGTCTGATGGACGTCGGTTACAATCGTGCAAACTCAAAAATGCCTTCTTGCAATGGAGACTCCATAAATGACGAAAGAAAAAACGCGCCTTGAAACAGCTCAAACTTCAGCGATTGTTAAAAAAGCAATTGTTGAAACAGCAATTGTCCAAACAGCAATTGTTCCAGGAAACTTTATACAGCTATTGTTCACAATGGAAATGGTTTAGCCTGCTGACGTCTCACTCGGCCCTTCGGCTCATTCAAGAGATTCAAGAGATTCAAGAGATTCAAGAGCAGCTTCAAGAATACGATGACAAATGGATGCTCATTGGAGTCAGAGAAGTGACGTCTAGAGGAAATCCTGGAGATTATTTCTATTCTAGTATTTCTTCTATTGATTCAGATCTAGAAAACGAAGGCCTTGGTGATGACGTCATCAAGGAAAATTCTGCAACCATTCAGCCCCAAGTTTGGTTTGGTTCATTTACGTTCATTTGCTTCATCTACGTTCCTTTGGTTCGTTTACGTTCCTTTGGTTCATTTACGTTCATTTGACGTTTGGTTCTTCGGCGTTTGGTTCATGTACGTTCATTTGGCGTTTGGCTCATTTACGCAATTGAGTCAGTCAGTCAATTGATCTTAATTGAATCCTTTTACTAACCTTTATTGTCATATTTCGATAGGCATCAATGTAATCGATTTGTAGAATATCTCGATATTGTCTCGCTTCTCCTTTTATCCATCTTTCCTTTTCCTCATCTTTACTCCGACCAACTACAAAAATCGTTCGATATTCGTACTAAAATCAAAGCTCGATATTCGAATCAATCAAAGCTTATTTCTATTCAAATTAGACATAGATTTTTGTGAATTTAATGGTAAGAAAGAAAGGAATGGCAAAGTAAAGAAAGGAATGAAAAAGTAAGGAATGGAATGGAAAAGTCAAATGTCTGATGGATTGAACCCTTGACCTTCTTTCCTTTTGGGGCAGGAAGGTCAGGGTCAAGCTTCCGGGACATGTGCTCTAACCACTGACATCCTGGATCACTGAGCCATCCTGGACGAGAGAGAAAAGAGGGAATACAAGTGGAAGAGAAGATTGAAAGAAAAGAAGCAACCAATTTTCTTAGTAGAATAGGAATAAAAGCAATTTTTTTAACCTTTTTCTCCCAATAATCATTGGCATACGTTTCTCGTATCGCTGCTCGTCGCTTATGATTCGCGATTGAGGTGTGAACGATAAAGAGAGTCTGAAAAGCGATAAAGATCGTTTGAAAGTCTGAAAAACGACAAAGAAGACTGAAATTAGCTTAACAACGAATTTTCTCATTACTAGTATAAGTTGAGCAGCTAATCCAAAGCTGTTTGTCTGATCTGGATATCAGCAAAACCAATTTCGGTTACCCAGTTCTTATCTTTGCGGTTTATCTTTGCGTCCTTGCGTCCTAGGGTCCTAGGGTCCTTAGACTCCTTGTCATAGGGTCCTTAGAGTCCGAGATCAACGATCGACAACGATCGTCGATCAATTCTGACGCCTTTAGACAATTCCCCAGTGAAAAAGCCCACCAGAAAGGGTACGTTTACTCATTCTGGAGCGCACAGAGTCTAATGATGACAACTAATTGACTATTTGATAACTATTTGACAACTATTTGACAACTATTTGACTCACATCGATTCCTGACGGGCATGGCTCTTTGGGAGTGATTGAGAAGCGGAAAGGGCGATAGAACTGAAATCAAATGATTCAAAGAGGTTCAAAGAGGTTCAAAGACGATTTAAAGACGATTCAAAGACCTACAAAGACGTTCAAAGACCTTTAAAGCCCTTCAAAGACGTTCAAAGACGTTCAAAGACGATTCTAAACTCTAAAAGTCTACCCGATGCATTGTTTCATTCATTGAATCATTTTCCTGTGGCTGAGTTTCGTTTGAAAGCGTCAGAATTACTGGATCGATTGATTGCTAAAAGATCAAATTTGACTATCTTTGTTTGTCGATATTCTACCTTACCAATCCACTTTGTCTAGCTTCAATTCTCTCAATGATTTCTTGATAATTCCCGATCCTTTTCCCCATCAAAACGAATAGAATTGTTGCAAAGAGAAGAATTAACAATGTCGATTTAGACATTTAGCTAAATATCATTCAGAAATTGTTTATTTACAAAGAAAAGACAGAAAAACATAGAAATGAATGAGATAAAGCAAAAAAATTGAGGTTTTGAGCAACGGTAGACAATCGTTTGCTCGATCGATCGTTTGCTCAAACTGTGAGTGAAATTGAAGCCTCTTCACAAAGAAAAGAAGGGTACAACACTCAAACAGATAAACAAACGCCCCAACTTGTCGCGTGTCTACACCTTTTCAGCTTGCTTGTCAATAGGAAGACGAAAACTGTTTTGTCTCTTCGTTTATTGTTCAATTTTATTTTCAAGTTCAGTAGCTGAAAAAAAAGCTTAAAGGAGAGCTTAAAGGAGAGCTTAAAGGAGAGCTTATAGGAGAGCTTATAGGAGAGCTTATAGGAGAACTTATAGGAGAGCTTAAAGCCCAGCTCAGATCAGCTCAGCTCAGCCTAGCTCAGCTCAGCTCAGCCTAGCTCAGCTCAGCCTAGCTCAGCCCAGCCCAGCTTATCAGCAGACCGAAGCCAAGACTTTCTGGATCGTTTTCTTGGACAAACTCATTGCTCATCGGCTTTACTCATAAAAAAAACTGTTTACCAAGTTCTTAATAAGCCAAATGATTAATTAAATGCTGCTTTTTATCCACATTTCTTTCTGTTTCTGTTTCTTCATTCACATGTTTATTTTCTCTTTCCAATTCAGTTGAGTGACAGCGGATGGAAAAACAGCTCTTTGGCTTGTACCACAAGGCGTTAAAGTCAATAGTTAAGATTAGAATAAGAAGAGACCTAGAATTAGACCTAGAATAAGAATAACCCGCTTCTTCTCAAGAATCAGCTGTTTTCCTGAGCCTTTCAGTCAATCAGCTGTTCACAGAACCACTTCAGAAGACGGACTTGGATCAGCAAAACGATTATCAGCAAGAAGGAACACAAAGCGATGGTTGTTGAGAGTTGGTACTTGAACAACTTTCTTGATTTTATTGAATTCAACTCTCTGGACCTCAATCCAATGGATTATTCTATATGAAGCGTTCTTAAGGACTTGCTCTATATGGAGCTTGTTCAAAAACCCTATAGAAAGAGTCAACTCCTTGAAGAAAGAGCTTGACAAACCTGGCAAACATTTGACATCCTTTAAAGGCCATTTTATTTGCCACCATAGAGACGCCTACAAACCTAGAAGCTCCTGAAACGCCTACCAAGCTCCTGAAACGCCTACCAAGCTCCTGAAACGCCTACAAGCTCCTGAAACGCCTACAAGCTCCTGAAACGCCTACAAGCTCCTGAAACGCCTACAAGCTCCTGAAACGCCTACAAGCTCCTGAAACGCCTACAAGCTCCTGAAACGCCTACCAAGCTCCTGAAACGCCTACAAGCTCCTGAAACGCCTACAAGCTCCTGAAACGCCTACAAGCTTGCAAGATGGTGGTAATTCGACTGTTACTGGTTTGACTGGTAATTTGACCCTCAGAGCGCTAGCCAAGCTCACTAACCACTCGGCCATCTTGCATCAACATCATTTAAAAATACTGCAAATTACGAATGTTTATTCTAGATCTCTAATTCGTATCAGTCCAGTATCCTCGTCAAATACAAGCCCAGTCTTGGTCCAGTGGCAATCCGGCACTTTTTTCACATCGAATCATCGAATCACCCGATTCGTTAACACCAGAAAGGTTGAAGGGTTTGTTGGGATGAATTCGTCGATTGTTTGGTTTGGGTTGATGATGCCTAGAGGGGAAATGTTGGCTATGGGATTGCAGAGGATTGCAGAGGTTTAAGCAACAAGCAACAATGAGGAATCTCCAGGTTTAGTCAAGATTGTATATGGCTTGGCACAAGCGTCGATTGGTTAGGTCAAGCCTATGATCCGATTTTCTGTAAATACTGTAATTAAAGTGTATTCAAAGCAACAAGCCTAAGCCTTCAGCAAGTTAAAGCATTTTTTTTTCTTTTCTTTCCAACAAAGCAATAGTTTCAAATGGAATTTTGAAATTCTGAAGGGTTCTAGAAGGTTGTCGATTTCTTTTTCCATACAAGAATCTTTCAAAATTCCTATAAAGATCGAATAAACAGTTGAAACGGTGAATCAAATGGTCCTCATCTTTATTTAAAGCGATTCCAGTTTTAAAAGATTTTAGAATGGTTTCCTGATTATTCAAAGCATTCAAAATGCAGCTCAACTAGCTCCATTGCAGTTTTATTGTAGGAGGCTTTGAAATGCCATCGATTTCTTTTCATGTCATCATCACTCTTGTCAAATCCCGAGAATTTTATCGTTCCTCCGGCCAGCTACACACAATCCAAATTGATCTTTCTCCTAAAAACCTAAAAGAGTTTGAGGCGAGAGGTATCGGCAGGACGAGACGAATAGTGACACCTAAAAAAAGAGAGACGGCTATGGTCCGAAAGGGAAGGCCTAATGCTAGAGCCGTGTGCCAGATGGAGAGCGATTGCAGGGCCGCACAGAGAACTCCTTTGTGCTGTCACTATTTTGGCACAGAGAAATCGTTTGGTTAGGTCAAGCCTTTGATTCGATTTTCTGAAATTTTGACAAAGCTACACAATCAGTTTCAAAGCTTTAAAATGTTAAATGATACAGAACGACAAAACGAAAGACAAAGCGCAAACAAGCACAGAGTGAAGGCGACTGATAACACATTTATGGGGCAGAGGCTTCTCTAAAAATGCAAAATGCTATCCATCGATTGAATAAATAAAGTTTTTTTCGTCAAATTTCGTTCAATCACCGATGTTTTAAGCCGGTTCAATTACGCAATACCATAAAAAAATCAACTTTTTCTCTTTGTTTAGAATTTGCAACTTTTTCGAGAGATTCCTCTCCAGTGACTTCCAGAATACACATTTTATCCAATCAGCGATCCGATTTAATTACCCAAACCGCTCTTTTGGGTCCGGTTCAATTACGCAACTTTTGACTATGATCTAGAAGCTGTCAATCTTACAGAAATTCGTCTCCAAAGCTCCAGTGACTTCCAGATTTCACATTTTATCCAATCAGCGTTCCAGTTTAGTTACGCAAACGGCTCTTTTCGGTCCGGTTCAATTACGCAACTTTTGCCTATGATCTAGAAGCTGTCAATCTCTCAGAAATTTGTCTCCAAAGCTCTAGTGACTTCCAGAACTACATTTTATCCAATCAACGATCCGGTTTAGCTACCCAAACGGCTCTTTTCGATCCGGTTCAATTACGCAACTTTTGACTATCATCCAGAAGCTGTCAATCTCTCAGAAATTCGTGTCCAAAACTCCAGTGACTTCCAGATTTCACATTTCTCTCTAAAAAAGCAATAGTTGACCAGAAGAATTTGGCTTTTTTGTCATCAGTCGAGTGTCTATCGAGTGTTGCTAGGCACCGATTCATTCTTGCTTTAAAATCCCTTCATTTTCCCCTCAATCCTAATTCCTTTTCGGGGAAATTGATAGTTTTCTCTGGGTTAAGCTGTTAAAAATAGCTATTTTTCTCTTTTTTTAAGGCAATTAAGCTGTTAAAAATCTCTAAATCGCGAATTTTTCAATTCTAGTATTACAATTAATGAAAATTGCAATGAAAATCAAAACCAAAGCCTTCTCGGAGGGGAAATCTTCATCTGAAGATCTTCCTACGATCTTCTACAAGCAATTCTTTCATTAGAATCTTTCTTTCGTTCTCTTGTTGTCCGTTTTTTTTCGATTTTTTTCGATTCTCGAATTAAGCGTATTTTTTTCTTTAATATTTTCTAAATTCTTGATTTTTTTATGGCAAAATTTGTGAATAATGCAAAAACAAAGGAATGAAACAAAAAGAAACGAACCAGAAACAAAAAGAAACGAAAAGAAACGAAAAGAAATCGATTTCCTTGTCAGTTTTCCTATTTTCTTCTTAATTTTTTCAATTTTAAAAGTCTAAACAACGAAAATTTCGTTCTTTTAGCGTTTTTCAGCGTTTTTCATCAATTTTCATCAATTTTCCCTGTTTTTAAAGCTTAAATCGCATCAAATTACGTGGAAAATTGAGTGAAAATGGACTAGATTTTGGCCTAGAAAGCCTAGAAAGCTCAAGAATAGCCTAGAAAGCTCAAGAATAGCCTACAAAGCTCAAGAAAAGCCTAGAAAGCTTCAGAATAGCCTAGAAAGCTCAAGAATAGCCTAGAAAGCTCCAGAATAGCCTAGAAAGCTCAAGAATAGCCTAGAAAGCTCAAGAATAGCCTAGAAAGCTCCAGAATAGCCTAGAAAGCTCCAGAATAGCCTAGAAAGCTCAAGAATAGCCTACAAAGCTCCAGAATAGCCTACAAAGCTCAAGAATAGCCTACAAAGCTTCAGAATAGCCTAGAAAGCTCCAGAATAGCCTACAAAGCTCAAGAATAGCCTAGAAAGCTCCAAAATGCCTAGAAAGCTCAAGAATCTCCCAAAAACCATTGCTGCGTTTTAGTTGAAATTTTGGAAAGCTTGGAAAAGAAATAGAGGCAAAAAATTGGGTTTCTAAACAAAAAACAAGTGATTTTCTTGAAATTTGGATCTTTTTTTGGTCTTTTATAAGGCCTAAATCAAGAAGCCGATTGTTTAAGAGCGCTTTCTAGCCGACGAACTGGCAAGCCTCCGTGGTGTAATGGTTAGCGCGCTTGGCTGTCAAACTATCGGCTGTTGGGGTGGTGGTGGTTCGAGTCCGCCTGGCGTCGAACTTTTCATTTTTTAGAAACTTCGATTGTTTAACAGCTCTTTCTAGCCGCTGAGACGACCGACTTCCGTGGCGCAATGGTTAGCGCGTTCGGCTGTCAAGCAAAGCCGCCCCTACTGGCTGGTTCGAGTCAGCCCCAAGCTCTTAATTCTCAAAAAACTTTTTCCCATGTCAGGAAAGCTTTCTACCTCTAGCTAGCTATCCAGACGACATCCTCTGTGGCGCAATAGTTAACGCGTTCGGCTGTCCAGCGAAACCCACCGGCTGGTTCGAACTTCGATCAAAAGTCGCGTAATTGAACCGGATCCAAAAGAGACGTTTGGGTAATTAAATCGGATCACTGATTGGATAAAATGTAGTTCTGGAAGTCACTAGAGCTTTGGAGACAAATTTCTGAGAGATTGACAGCTTCTGGATGATAGTCAAAAGTTGCGTAACTGAACCGGATCGAAAAGAGCCGTTTGGGTAACTAAACTGGATCGTTGATTGGATAAAATGTAGTTCTGGAAGTCACTAGAGCTTTGGAGACGAATTTCTGAGAGATTGACAGCTTCTTTATCATGGCCAAAAGTTCCCAAGCCTCAAAAAACGCAATAACTTTTTTCCAGATCAAGAAAGTTTTTTACCTCTAACTAGCGGTCCAGCCTCTGTGGCACAATGGCTAGCTGTTGCTGTCAAACGCTGTAGCTGTCAAACGCTGTAGCTGTCAAACGGAACCAGCTCTCCTAAAAGTCGAAGCTCTCAGCTTTGGTTCGAGTCCACCTCGAGCGCTTAGCTTTTTCCAATTCTTAAACAAACAGAATAACATCCGGAAGGCTTTTTTCCATATCAGGAAAGCTTTTTACCGCTTTTTGACGCTAGTTTCAGCTCACAAACACTTTTCAAATCGATTTTGATTTAGAGGATTAGCCGGTTGTTTGTTGGTGGTTGGGGGAAATTTGAGTTTCTATTTTTCATGTCAAATTCTATTGATTTAAGAGTCATTCAGTCATTTTCAGTCATTCTAAGCCTAAAAGGGTTAATCTGAAAGCGAATTTGACCCTTCTACGCCAGAAAAAAACGATTTTTATTCAACTAGAAGCCGAGCCGAGTCTCAAAACCCAAAATCGAAAATCTCGCGAAAATCGATTTAGCAAGCGCGCTCGTGTACTCCAGATCGAAGAAATTCGGGCTTGTTTTGCCATTTTCTCTGATGAGAGTCCTCAAAAAAGTGAGGGGGCCGTTGAAAAGCGCTGAAAATCGCTGAAAACCGCTGAAAACCCCCAAAAACCATCGCTTTCTCTCCTTTTGTTTACTCAGCACATCCCCGACAATTTTTGAATAGAAAAGGGGAACAGGAGAGAGGGAATTTGGGGAAAATCTTTTGGCATTTGTTGAGCATTTTATCAAATTCCTTATAGAAATCATCAATTTCATTCAAAATTCGTTTTTTTTCATCGATTTTCGAAAAGTCATCACAAATTCTGTTCTTTTTTCTTTATTTTGCCTTTATTTTTTGATTTTATTCTTATTTTTCAACTAAATACTCTTTATTTTAGGAAATCTGATAGCAAAAAAGCTTTTTAAAAGTTTAGAAAAGTCAAATTTAGTCAATTGTTGGGCTAGTCGACTTTCCGGAGCGAGTCGTCCAACTTTGAAAGCCCATATCTTTGTCCAGAGATTATCTTATGCCAAACCTTTTATATCATTGAATAGAGGAGATTTTAGGCTTTCGATTGACACTAAATAAAGCTTGATTGGGTAACCCAGTCTAGAAAAATCAAAGGAAATGTGGGAAGGGAGGCCGATCCGATGAGGTGTCAGACTTGAAAGGTTTATAACTTTGTCTAGTGATAAGATTAGAGCTGACTCTTTAGATGTTTGAGTAGAGGAGATTTCAGGCTTTTGATTGACACTAAATAAAGCTTGATTGGGTAATCCAGTCTAGAAAAATCAAAGGAAATGAGGGAAGGGAGGTTGATCCAACTCAGCTCCAGTGTAACCTGGTTTTTATAGGAATGCAAAACGCCAATCAAGCTTTATTTAGTGTCAATCGAAAGCCTAAAATCTCCTCTATTCAATGATATAAAAGGTTTGGCATAAGATAATCTCTGGACAAAGATATGGGCTTTCAAAGTTGGACGACTCGTTCAGGGGCTTAGGCTTAGGCTTAGGCTCAGGCTCAGGCTCAGGCTCAGGCTCATGCTTAGGCTCAGGCTAGGGCTCAGGCTAGGGCTCAGGCTAGAGCTCAGGCTCAGGCTTAGGCTTAGGAATCGTTTAAGATTTAAAAAACAACCAATTTCGCGTGTTTTCAATGAATTTCAGCTTTTTTTATCTTACAAACGAGCTTTTTTAATTCAAAAAATAAATCGAATCATTTTAAAAACGAATTCCCTTCATTTTCAGATGTAATGATCAAAAGAAAACGTTTCTTTTTCGTTTTACTCTTCTCCGTCGTGTCGAGCCTCTTTTTACTTGTACAATACTTTAAAAGAGGTTTGTTTTTGAGATTTTCGGCTAAGCTGGCATGCACAGCGTCCGAATTTCAGATGATCTTTCGTCGCCGATCTCATCCCACAATTTACTCTTCGATTTCTTGAATAGCTCGACTTTTATCCAACCTACGCTGAAGAGGGTACGATTTTCTGGGCAAATTTTCTGGCAAATTTGTTTAATCTGGATGTCACAGAGTTGAAATAGCTAGAATTGAGCTAGAATTCTAGGAAAATAGCTAGAATTGAGCTAGAATTCGAAAGAACTTCTGAGTTTTTGAAGAATTTTCAAGTACTGCTCGATTTCTTGAAAATTTTCCAAATAAAGTCTGTAATTTCTAAGGAATAACTTCAATCTGGATGTCACTATATCTAAAAAATTCAATAGATTTTGTGAAATCCAGAATTAAAAAAAGTTTTTTTAGAACTTTCAAGTTCTCCTCGATTTTTTGAAAACTTTCTAGGTCTGGTCTATAATTTCTAGTAAATATGTTCAATCTGGATGTCACAGAGTTGAAAGATTTGAAACTTTAAACTTAAACCATTGATTTTAAAGTACTGCTCGATTTTTGGAAAATTTCCCAAACAAAGTCTGTAATTTCTAAGAAATAACTTCAATCTGGATGTCACGATACCTAAAAAGTTTAATGGATTTTGTGAAATCCAGGATTTAAAAAATTTTTTTTTTAACTTTTAAGATCTCCTTGATTCTTTAAAAACTTCCCAAGTCTGGTCTATAATTTCCAGCAAATATGTTCAATCTGGATGTCACAGAGTTGAAAGATTTGAAATTTTAAACTCAAGTCGTTGATTTTAAAAATTTTTGATGGATTTTCAAGTTCTCGTCGATTTCTTGAAAATTTTCCAAATAAAGTCTGTAATTTCTAACAAATATGCTCAATCTGGATGTCACTGTATCTAAAAAGTTTAATAGATTTTGTGAAATCCAGGATTAAAAAAAATTTTTTTTAACTGTTCAAGTTCTGCTCGATTTCTTGAAAATTTTCCATATAGACTCTCTAATTTCTAAGAAATACCATCAATCTGGATGTCACTGTATCTAAAAAGTTTAATAGATTTTGTGAAATCCAGAATTAAAAAAATTTTTTTAGAACTTTCAAGTTCTCCTTGATTTTTTGAAAATTTTGCAAGTCTGGTTTATAATTTCCAGCAAATATGCTCAACCTGGATGTCACAGAGTTGAAAGATTTGAAATTTGAGACTTAAACCGTTGATTTAAAAAATTTTTTATGGATTTTCAAGTTCTCATCGATTTTTTAAAAATTTTCCAAATAAACTCTGTAATTTCTAAGAAATACCATCAATCTGGATGTCACTGTATCTAAAAAGTTTAATAGATTTCGTGAAGGTCAAGATTGAAAAAATTGAACTTTCATAGCTTTAGGATGTTTCGTATGCTTTTGTGGCGTTGTTGAAAAATCGAGATAACATTGCTGAGTACGAATTTGCTCAAAAAACAGTGAAATGCTATTGTGAATCGAGGAAAATCCCTTATTATTTGCTTGTGAACGATGAAGAGAATGTGAAAGGATGTGCAATGGAAGATGTGAGTTTGAGGAAATGGAAATTGAAAAATCATTCAAAATCAACGATTTTAATCTTTTCGAGTTTCAGGTGACCTCCAGAAAAACCAAAAAATCGTTTGAATTGGCTAGTAAACAGTTTTGAACAGATTTCTGGACTTGAACTCGAAACTAACAAATCTGGTCGTCCGGAAAGTCCTTTTCCAGTCCCTTTCCAGTCCCAAAACCTTTCCTGACCTCCAATTTGAATAAAAAAGCGATTCAGTATATGTATCAACGACATTGTATCCTTGCAAACTTCATGAACACGACAGAACACGAATGGTTTGTGATGCTGGATGCGGATATGGGTTAGTTATCGGGCTAGAGACTCTGCTTAGGGTTTTGCCAACACCCAGAGCCCAGTTGATCAGCTCTGAGCTGCACAAATCACCAATTTGACACTCCATTTGACAGCCGGCTGACTAGGCTAGCCCATCCCGGCTCAGAATTCAAAACTCGCAAATTCCGCTCAAATCAATTAACCAAATCCTTTCGTGTACTCCAGATCGCAGAAATTTGTTTCTAATTTGCCATTTTTCTGATTCCCATCTTGCCATCAAGGCTTGCTTTCGGTTTAGGAAAGACTTGGACCAGAGTCGGACCTAGATTTGGCTCTGGTCTATGAGTAGGTCAGAAGGAAGACTAGATCTAGCACGATCTACCTCCAGGAAGGCTAGATCTACCTCGATTTGAGAAAGTAATTTGGTTTTATTTAGGCTGAAATAGACCAGGTTAGACTATAATCAGCTAGCTCAACTTTGAGCTCAAATATCTCGGCGTTGGGCTATCGAATTCCGATCTTATTTGTATCATTAGATGCGCCAAGTCTTTCTCTATCGATTGGTATAAAAAGTATCTAAATTGGACCACCCAAACCCGAGATATTTGAGCTTAAAGTTAGTGGCAAAAGGGGCGGAGCTAGAAAGACCTTATATACGCGCTTTGTATCACTAGATTCGCCAAGTCTTTCTCTATCGATAGATATAAAAACTATCTATATTGGACAGCTCAAAGCCGAGATATTTGAGCTCAAAGTTTGCCAATGGCAAAAGGGACGAGGCATGTATATAAGGTCTTTCTAGCTCCGCCCCTTTTTCCAATCTAACTTTAAGCTCAAATATCTCGGCTTTGGATTGTCCAATTTAGATACTTTTTATAGCAATCGATAGAGGAAGACTTGGCGAGTCTAGTGATACAAAGCGCGTATATAAGGTCTTTCTAGCTCCGCCCCTTTTGCCACTAACTTTAAGCTTGAATATCTCGGCTTTGGGTGGTCCAATTTCAATAGTTTTTATACCAATCAATAGAGGAAGACTAGGCGCATCTAATTATATGAAGCGCGTATATAAGGTCTTTCTAGCTCCGCCCCTTTTGGCACCTTAACTTTGAGCTCGAATATCTCGGCTTTGGTTGGTCCAACTTTAATACTTTTTATACCAATCGATAGAGGAAGACTAGGCGCATCTAATGATGCCAAGAATATTGAGTTTGGACAACCCAAAGCCAAGATATTTGTGCTCAAACTTTGCCAATGGCAAAAGCGGGCAATCTAATGTCCCACAATTCAGGAGTGATCAACCCGGACACTTCAATCGACAAATTCATCCCCAACAATGAGTCGATCTTTCTGGTGCTAACGAATCGAGTGATGAACTCGGAGATCATGACTGGATCCTATATTGTGAGGTTGGGGATTGTGAGGCTGCACTTTGTTTCAATGTCATCGATAGAAATGATCCTCGTGGCCGCGACTTTCTAATGATGTGGGCGAAGAGTTTCGAGGTTTATCGAGACCGTTTCGGGAGCGACAATGCTGCTGTGCATGTTCGTTTGAGCAGTTTGACACTTTTTCTCAGCCCCCACAATATTGAATCATTTTCACTGGCGGCTTAAATCGAATCCTGGCACGCACAGAGACTTCTCGATTACTTAGATTCATAATATTTGAGCTTTAGTCAGTTCGAGTTTTCGTGTTGCTTTGGTGTAGTTTTGAGAAGTCTCTAGCCACTTCTGGCTTCCAGATTTTTCTTAAAACCTCTCAATTCCAAGATTAGGTCTTAGATTTGAGTTTTTGACTTGTTTTACATTAATAGCTTTGATTTTAGAGTGCAATCGTTCGACGCTATCTCCCAAAATTGGAATCGAGTCTGGCTAAATGTGAATATTGGTGGAAATTGACCGAGTAAAGTCGATTTTTGTTCTTTACAAGCTTGTACAAGCCTTCACAAGCCTTTACAAGCCTCTAGAAGCCCTTACAAGCCTTTAGAAGCCTTGAGAAGCCTTTATAAGCCTTTACAAGCCTTTACAAGCCTTTGGAGGCCTTTGGAGGCCTTTACAAGCCTTTACAAGCCTTTAGAAGACTTTAGAAGCCTTTACAAGCCTTTACAAGCTCTTGATAAGCCTTTACAAGCCTTTAGAAGACTTTAGAAGCCTTTAGAAGCCTTTGGGGGCCTTTGGAGGCCTTTTACAAGCCTTTACAAGCCTTTAGAAGACTTTAGAAGCCTTTACAAGCCTTTACAAGCTCTTGATAAGCCTTTACAAGCCTTTAGAAGACTTTAGAAGCCTTTAGAAGCCTTTGGGGGCCTTTGGAGGCCTTTACAAGCCTTTACAAGCCTTTAGAAGACTTTAGAAGCCTTTACAAGCCTTTACAAGCTCTTGATAAGCCTTTACAAGCCTTTAGAAGACTTTAGAAGCCTTTAGAAGCCTTTGGGGGCCTTTGGAGGCCTTTACAAGCCTTTACAAGCCTTTAGAAGACTTTAGAAGCCTTTACAAGCCTTTACAAGCTCTTGATAAGCCTTTACAAGCCTTCACAAGCCTTCACAAGCCTTTACAAGCCTTTACAAGCCTCTAGAAGCCTTTACAAGCCTTTACAAGCCTCTAGAAGCCTTTACAAGCCATTACAAGCCTTTAGAAGCCTTTACAAGCCTTTATAAGCTCTTTATAAGCTCTTTATAAACTCAACAAGCAATTCTATCAACCAAAGCCATTTTACAGACAATATTGTCGTCTTTTTCTTTATGAAGTCTGTGTTCGAAATCTCCTCGACAACTTTGACATTCCAGGCGTTCAGGTTCATCGAAAATTTCCCACATTTGAAAGCTGTAAGCTCGAAAATGGCTACAGAATGTCGTAAATAGCCAGAATGTACAGTCGTACAGTCGCGTCGTCTAACTTTAAACGCCTTTTTTTTCTCGACACTAGTTTATCGAATCTTTCAGTTCCTGGAGAAAACCTATTCCTATGTGCGGGATGGATGGCTGACTGGAGGGAAATTCAGTCAACATGATTTCATCTTTCACAATTGGAAAGAGAAGTGGGCTTTAACAATTTAATCTGACCGAGAAAAAAAGCAAAGAATAGACTGAAGTGGGAATCGAACTGATGAGCTCTCGCGCTAGAAACGAGGGATTTACCACTAGGCCACAGTTGCAACGAATCAAGCTGTTAAGAGGGGGCAAGGAGGCCCTTAAGACCCAAATAATGCCTTTTTGTAAAAAGATGTTGATGTGGGGATCGAACCCGTGAGGCCTCGCTCTAGAAACGAGGGATTTATCACTAGGCCACAGTTGCAACGAATTAAGCTCGCAAGGAGGCCATTAAGACCCAAATGAACCATCTTTTTTTTTTAAAAGTCGAGGTCGGGATCGAACCTGCAATGTCTCGCTCTAGAAACGAGAGCTTTACCACTCGGCTACACCTGCAGGAAAACAGGCCCCCAAGGAGACCGTTAACACCCAAATAAACCACCTTTTTGTAAAAAAAGCTAGATAAACCGAAGTGGGAATCGAACCCGTGAGCTCTCGCTCTAGAAACGAGGGCTTTACCACTCGGCCACGGCTGCAAGCAATTAAGCTCTCAAGGAGGCCCTTAATACCCAAATGAACCATCTTTTTTTTTAAAAAAGTCGAGGTTGGGATCGAACCTGCCAGGTCTGGCTTTGGAAACGAGGGCTTTACCACTCGGCCACAGCTGCAGGGAAACAGGTCCCCAAGGAAGCTATTAAGAGGGGGCAAGGAGACCGTTAAGAGGGCGCAAGGAGACTCAAATGACCACAGTCCTAACAAAACTTTAAACACTTCTAACTCTTCGCAGATTGTCATTTAGAGAAAACGGAAGAGATATTTGAAATCAGCATGAAAATCTGCGTATCCCCATTTCCTAAAAAGCTCTCTTTATCATGAAATTTCAGAGTAAAAAACAATCGAGCCGCATTTGGTTGGTGGGATTACCAATTCACCGAGGATGCTTTCAATAATTTAAGGTTTATATTTGCCTGGCTAGCTGGCTGGCTGGCTAGCTGGCTGGCTGGCTAGCTGGCTGGCTGGCTAGCTGGCTGGCTGGCTAGCTGGCTGGCTGGCTAGCTGGCTGGCTGGCTAGCTGGCTGGCTGGCTAGCTGGCTGGCTGGCTAGCTGGCTGGCTGGCTAGCTGGCTGGCTGGCTAGCTGGCTGGCTGCTTGGCTTCGTTCTTGAGTTCTTTTTTTCAGTCTCTGCACATCGGGCGAGGAAGCCTACCAGCTTTGGCGTTACAAGCCCGGCTTCCGAGTGACCGTCGCCGAAAATCGAAAGTGAGCTCTAGAAAAGCGAAAAAACTGTACTGTGACTTCCAGATCGTTGGATACTTGGATAAAAAACACGAAAAAAGAACGAGATCGGCAAGCAAAGCTCTCGCAAACGTTCAACGTGGATTCGGCAGTGAATTGCCATTAAAAACTGTGATTTAAACTGTTTTAAACTGCATGAATGATGGATATTTTCAATTCTATTTCGTTTTTTAGCTGGTTTTAGCTATTTTTTCAAGATTTTGTTTATTAAAAGAGTACGGATACCAAAAAAAAACGGGTTTTTCGTCTTTTCTGTGATTTTTTTTCGTTGTGTTTATAAAAGGAAAGGAAATTTGTTTTTAGCAATTGAAAACTAAAAGAAATATCTATAGAATTCTAGCAAATAGCAAATAACAAAACAAAACAAAACGATGAAATTGGTGAATTCTCATATTTTACCTATTCTATAGACCAAAATAATCAAAAATCAAAAAAAAATATTTCTATCTTTTCGTTTTTAGCCTTTTTTCAGCCTCTTTATGGGTTTTTTCGTACTTTAACGATGCTAAATCAAAATCTGAATCATTTGCGTTAACTCTTTTAGTTTTAGAGATCTGAAAATCTCATTCCTGATGGAAAACTGATATCTTAGCAGAGCATTGAGCATTTTAATATAGATATTTAGCCTTTTAACTCAATGTAATAGCAAATATGTTCAATCTGGATGTCACAGAGTTGAAATAGCTAGAATTGAGCTAGAATTCGAAGAACTTCTGAGTTTTTGAAGAATTTTCAAGTACTGCTCGATTTCTTGAAAATTTTCCAAATAAAGTCTGTAATTTCTAAGGAATAACTTCAATCTGGATGTCACTATATCTAAAAGTTTAATAGATTTTGTGAAATCCAGAATTAAAAAAAGTTTTTTTAGAACTTTCAAGATCTCCTTGATTTTCTGAAAATCCTCCAAATAAAGTCTGTAATTTCTAAGGAATAACTTCAATCTGGATGTCACTGTATCTAAAAAGTTTAATAGATTTTGTGAAATCCAGAATTAAAAAAAGTTTTTTTAGAACTTTCAAGATCTCCTTGATTTTTTTTAAAACTTTTCAAATCTGGTCTATAATTTCTAGC